GGTATATAACACCTTATAGCCACAGGTCTCAGGGCAGTTCACAAGTATTACTTTGGTAATACCACTCTACCCTTTGCCCTACCTGTGTTTCTCCACCCCAAAAATTATTATCTAAAACAAGGTAAATCAGAATAAGCACATTTGAAAGAGCATGTGCATTTCAGCCACATCATTTTTATCCCATCCCATGATTTGCATCTTCTAGACTGCAATTGAGTGATGCAAAAAACATGAGACAACAAACCATGAGAAAAAGCCTCCATCAAAGAGCAGAGTTAAAGCTTCTTGTGGTTTAATATGCAAAGCCTAAGCAGCTCAATCAAGCAACCAAAGCTAAATGTCATTTCCTCCCTTGACACAATCACTCTCTTGTTAAAATAGGACATATTTTGTTTGGTGGCCCATCAGGGAAAAAAATATATATTATAGGTTACAAAAGAATAGCAGGATCAGTGCACACACTGTCAAATATGAGAGACCAAAGGTTGATGAATGATTTCTTGTTTGAATCATGTACTCCAATTCAAAAATAAACTGTGATGAAATACATAAATATTTAGCAAACTGTATCCTTGCAAAGTACTAGAACTTTAGGTCCCTTGAGTAATCATGTTAATTTTGTATCCCAAGCTGTAATTAAAAAAAACACCAGTGAAGGTTATGGAAGCCCATGAGAAGAAGAGAAACAGTGGTCTACATCAAAGAAGATGGAAGTTGTGCCTATAACAAGTTTTTCTCTGCTTTAATGGACAGAAGGACTAGCTAGGAAGACGACCCCAAGAGCTTTTGTAGGGGTGGATTATGTTGTGGCAGGAAGAAAAAAAATACCTGAAACACATGAAAGCTCACTGAAGTCGATCAACTTTTTGGATTTTAAAATGGCAACACTGGGCTTGTATATTGTTAAGCATACTGTAATAAATAAATTAGCTATAGAGAAAAAGCACTGTGTTAAAAGGCTTCAGTCTGTCTCCAAACATCTTGAGCTGATCCAAAATGCCATCTACCAGTGTGATTCACAATCACTACTGAGTCTCTGAAGATTGAGAGCCAAGGAAAAGCTCATTAAAAGAAACCTATTAATATCTATAGCGATTCTCTTTATACCGAAATAAACGTAATCCAGCAGCACACAAACTATGCACTACAGCATCTGTGTGAGCAATTTCATGGCACAGATTTATTTCTCCTGCGTTACCAATTAAATCTTAAAATAGATGGTATAGATAAACACTGAAACACAAGTATCTATAGTCGGGCATGTAATGGTTACACAGCTAAGTAACAGTAACACTCCAGTTTCTATTTTGGAGCTGAGATACAGCAATAGCTGCCATGTTCTGTAATGGCTATTGTGGGTGCTCAACATTCCTACACATACAAGCTGGAAAAACATTCCTACACATTCCTACACATACAAGCTGGAAAAATTCAACAAACTAAGATAACAAAAAAAAATCAGGAGAAAACAATATGTGCAACAGTATGTACAAACTGTCCGACATTCCTTAACTTTCGGTGGTCCTACAGACCAGCTCTGAATTTCATCATCCTTGGAAGCTTATGACCAATGTATCTTGCTGAAAAGTGCTACTTTGACTTTTAAATAATCTGTGATACTGCATGCCAATATTAGCATGTACAAAAAATATTCTGTTTAACGGTAACAAAATAGGCTGATCCAAGAGAAGCGAGCAGCCACCTAGAAGGCCCCTTCCCATGGTGGTGGAACTGAAGTAAAAGCCTCCCCCAAAGATCTGAGAGCCATATAGGGGCATGAAACAATGGGGTGGAGGGCACAAAGTCTATAGACCTCAGGTAGCTCTTGATCCCTTTAGGATGGGCAGCTCCCAACAAAATTTCAAAAATGCAATAAAACCTCAAACATTAAAAACCTCCCTGAACAGGTCTCCCTTCAGATGTCTTCTAAAAGTCATGCATGCACATGAAAGCTTATACCCAGAACAAACTTAGTTGGTCTCTAAGGTGCTACTGGACAATTTTTTAATTTATTTCTAAAAGTCAGATAATTTATCTGATGGGTGGGCGTTCTACAGAGCAGGTGCAACTACCGAGAAGGCCCTCTGCCTGGTTCCCCGTAACCTCACTTCTCGCAATGAGGGAACCACCAGAAGGCCCTCTCAGCCATTCCTCAGTGTCTGGGCTGAACAATGGGGGTGGAGCCAAAGTCATTTAGGGCTTTAAAGGTCAGCATCAACAATCTTACTTGTGCTCAGAAACATACTGGGAGCCAATGTGGGTCTTTTAGGACTGGTGTTATATGGTCGCGGCGGCCACTCAGTATTTCATCTGAACCAGTAATATCAATGGAACAACCATTCAACCACCTCACGATCTCAATCTGGTGATCAGATCAGATATTTACAAGGTTTAGTACCAACATTAATAACCTTCCTTGAAATGTTGGTGTGGAAATGTACTTAGAACTGAAGTACAACCACTGGTACAAGTTATGAAGATAACTATATATAATACCAAGGAAAGTTGAATATTTTGCTTGGATGTGCTTGTAATCAGATACTTTCCTATAGGAATGGGGAGACCTCAGTGCTTAGATGTACTCCTGTTTTTCAGAATTCCCGTTTTAACTGAAGAGTTATCACAGAAAGTGGGAGCAGTTCACTTTTCCCCTATCCCAGTTACCCTGGCATATATGCATGCTAAAGAATTTATTATTATTATTTATTTTTGCCCACTACCTGCATTCGGTGATACTACAGCAATAGCTGCCACTCCTCCTGCTACTCCGCCGATCTGATCGAAATTCATTCCTCGACTTCCTTAGGCTGAAGTACTCTGTAAGCTTTCCAAAAGACGACATGGCACCAGCGCAGTGTGACCTTCTACCATCTGCATACGTGTGCCTGAATCTACACACAGGTTCATATGCTAGAGCCAGTGTGTTTGCATTTCTCAGGATTTGTCGACAGTGCTTGCTGTGCTGAGCAGGTGTGCTAGGAGAGTTAGAGAAACAGAAAGCAAGGAGTTTAGGAAGGGCAGACCATGATTTTTCATGCACTGATATTTTTCATACAAAAGAAACACACAGCATATAGGAATTAAGTACACACTCATGAAAGCAGTACTTCCGTGTGTGTGTGTGTGTGTGTGTGTGTGTGTGCGTGCGCGCGCATGTGCGCACACGCGTTTACTGCAGAACTGAATTAAGAAGAAAAATAATCCCATCTGGGGAAAGGGGAATCCTTTAGTACGGAGTGGTTATATTTCACAGTTCCTACTGTGTAAGGTTTTCACAAAGACATGCCTCTACATCAGAAATGGAGAGCATTTGGCCTTTAAAGATGCATTTAATTAAGGGGGAGGTATATTAAGTCTCAATCACTTTTCATCATGGTACAGAGAAAGAAACCTTTAATATTAGAAAGCTAAAAAATCATTACATGTCCTGAACAACTGGGCTGTGTGTAGTCAAATACTTCTAACCCTAGTGACCCAAGTACTACACATATACTGTACTAATAACAAGATCTTTGGACTCCTCCTGTACACTGTTGTGCTTTAGAGCCAGCAGCACCAATATCCCTCTCACATAGCAGCCCCTTTCCTACTCTATCATGCTAAATCTTTATTATTAATTAGGTCTCAATTAATTTAGAAATTATTTACAGTTATCTGCACCCCAGCACTCTGTTTCAGCACTAGAAAATACAACCAGCATCCACCAATGAGCAATTCTGCATAGCAGAATACAATTGTCCCTCTTAAAATCCTCAGCTAGTCAGCTACACTCATGCTTATCAGATCTCTAACTCCCTTGATCAAACTGCTACCATAGAGGGGATAGCAAAAAGAGGCATTGATGGGAGGTTGATGTGTCTTCATAAACTCATTTGAACCCTAATGAGCATGTAGGTATTAAAGTTCAGTTGAGAAGCAGCACAGCTGGATACAAGAAGCAAGAAAATACATGATAGCAACACATTTAATTACCTTTTAGACAAAAAGGACAAGAGTAAATGAACAGGAACATCAAATTAACAAACTGTTTTGTATTTTTTCCCAACCTTCTGCTGTGGGTGCCATATTAAAAATTAAATGTTAACTGCTATTTTTCTGCCGAAAGCAACCACACACAATAAAGGAGCAGTCAATACTGCAAGCCTGTCACATAATTTCCCCGCAAACAAATTCTTTTTCTGTATCTGTTTTTATTCTGTTTTATTAATTCCATTAGTTTGATTTCCATGTTTCAAACACAGCATCCAGTATCAACAGTATTTTTTTTGCCAGCTGCTTCCAAAGGAGGAATGAAAAGAGAAAGGGGGTGATTGCCTATGATATGTTTGAAAATCTCAATGCTGTACTATTCTATGCTGTGCTTTCACTGGTATATCAGAAATTTTTAGAGGCAACTATCACTATTTCTGTTTCCTGTATCCTCATCTCTGCAAACAGGATTATTCCAAGATATCATAAACTGCAAAACCTGCATTCAGTCAAATTTGTACAAAGCAGTAACCACTAGCACACAATTTCTCTTCTCATGCTCCAGCACAAGCAAAAGTGGTGCAGATGCCTAAACATCAAGTATAGCAGAACACAAAAACACAGGAGAGGCAAAGAGGGCAGAAGACAAGGGGGTGCAAGGAGGTGAACGATGACAAGAGGACAAGAAAAACAAACCCAAATTAGACCAATTTATGTGCATAAGACACCTGCTGGCTTGTTTCAGCTGAACGGCTTTAGGAGGTTCTGTTGCAGCGGCGGTAGCAGCAGCAGCTCCCTGCAGTCTTTGAATGAATCTCTTTCTTTTTCCCCTTCAGCTGCTCGGCAGCAGGTAGAAAACCTCTCACAACACCTTCTTGTTTCCATTAATATTTTATGAGAAGAGAGTGCAGCCCTGAGACCCCATTCACCTTTGGATTAAGTCCGGGCAATCTCTCCTCCATCCCCCTCCCCAAATTCAAATAACTCCACGTCTGCCTTGATGGTGCATTAAATTTTCTTCTTTTCTTTTTGCAATCAATTCACTTGCAGAGAGATGGATCAAAACAACATTCACTCCTGCTCTCGGTCTTCTCACATGTACATTCAGTCTCACATTCCATCCCTCATCTCTTATCAGGCACAGGATTGCCATCCAGAGATATGCAATATTCCAAATGAGGTCAGGAACAACAGAATGGAATCAGGCACTAAGGCTGGGGTGGGGGGAGAAGAGGAGCAGCAGTTTATAGGGTGGGCAAAGGACACAGTGAGAAAGGGAACAAACACACACACACACTTTATCAGCATTAAGCATCCAAACCCTATAATGAAGCTCTTTGAGATGCAGACAGCATTTTTAGGAATCACAGACACCTTGGGAGGGCTATAATAATTATTACCTGACGCAGAAGAAATTGTTGGCTACTAAGCAACACAAGGGAGAAAGAGGAGTTAACATACCACAGACTTGCAAGGCAAGAGGGAGAGGTCTGAAGAAAGGGGGAGAAGCAACATATCGCCTCTAAATATTCCATGTAACAAGAGATAAGAAAGAGTAAAGCAAAAGCTTCTCAGGGTTTGCTTGGCTGCACTTTCCTATTGACTTGAGTGAACTACAATTGGGACTTACAGGTGGGGAGCTGTAATATATTCTGCAGCACTATGATAGGCATATGAAAACATCTCTTTCTACATGAGTAGAAGTGTGTTTGTGATCAAATACTAGTACCTCACCACTCATGTGTTAAAATGGCCACCAGTTATCTCAATTCCGAGCAATATCCAGTAGCATAAAATTCCACTTTTCTCTCGTGTTTTTAATGTTTCAATTTATATGATACAAGCATCAAAATGTACAGAAGTTAAAAATATACATATAAAAGGTCAGCATTTCTGTAAGATAAAATATGTTTACAATAGACAAAATATTACCCTCTATATGGGGGACTAACCATTCAAATTGGTAATAACCCATTCTCCAAGAGTTCTTTATAAAACCAAGTTCAGGCTTGGGGTCAGAGGTCCAAACATATGTATATTAGAAAAACACAGAAGAGGCAACAGCAAGGAAGGGAAAAGAATATGAAATAAATCACACCCAAAAGTCTGTTATTGAATAGAGATGCTTGAAGAATTTCATATTTTGAAATTCTGGAGCAAACTGGCCTGATCCACGAGCTTAGGAATCCATCACCTTTCACACTTGCAAATGTCCCAAATTAAGTTATTTGCTTAAAAAAATACAACACACATAACTTTAAAATATGTAAAGGTAAAGGGACCCCGGACCGTTAAGTCCAGTCGCGGACGACTCTGGGGTTGCGGCGCTCATCTCGCTTTACTGGCCGAGGGAGCTGGCGTTTGTCTACACACAACTTTCAGGTCATGTGGCCAGCATGAATGAGCTTCTGGTGAACCAGAGCAGCACATGGAAATGCTGTTTACCTTCCCGCCGGAGCGGTACCTATTTATCTACTTGCACTTTGACGTCCTTTCAAACTGCTAGGTTGGCAGGAGCAGGGACCGAGCAACGGGAGCTCACCATGTCACGGGGATTTGAACCGCTGACCTTCTGATCAGCAAGCCCTAGGCTTTTTTTAAAAAAATGATAAATTAATGAGGAACTGGGCTGGGATCAGAATGGGATCAGACTTATAAGTGAGCAAATGATCGACACTGGCTGGAAACAGACTGACTCATCAATCCCTATTCTGGAACACATACAAAAGTGAATTTATCTGCAAGACACTGTTTGACTGCACTTGCCTATTTTTCTAAGTACTTTAATAAGTCGTGGCACACTATGGTAGAAAGGAAAGTCTCATCTATAAAAGTGAAATTAAGTTTTGATATACTGTAAAGAGCCTGAAAAAAGTTTCAAGCAATGTCACTGAGGTACAAAGCTCAGCTACTTTTGATGGGCTAAATGGTTAGTCTGGGGATTAGGGTTGCAATCCCCTAACCCCATTTATCTGGGAGGAAGCCCCACTGAATTCAGTATGGCTTACTTTTGAGTAAATGTGGTTAGACCTGCACTGTTAGGACTGCACTGTAAGAGAAGGGTGGCCTGGCCACTATTATAAACAACTTTACAAGTCAGTTGTAATGTGCTCTACATAGAGCTGCTTGAAAAGACTGTTCGTAACCTAAAGCTGGAATATAATGTGGCAGCCTGCTTGTTAACTGAATTAAGCTGATTCCATCTGACTCAGGAGAGGGAATGGCAGAGACAGGACTGCAGAGCCTCTCCATCCACTCTACTTAAAAACCAGTGTTTGGCTGCTTCCTCTTCAGTTAAGAAATAGTGCCAGAGTTTGCTTTTCTCCTCCTACTTCACAAATCCCTCTTCTTTTTGTGTCCTGTCTTTTAGATCATTAACCTGAGGACAGAAGCTGTCTTATCAATGACATTTGTAAGTGGCTCTAGGAACCTTCTTGGTTGAAGAGCAAGATAAGAATGCTTTAAAATAAATAAAGAAGCAGGAAAAATGTTACACCTGGGTGTTTAAAGAACTAGTGTAGTGGATGCTAATCAGCTTCCAGGCACAATTTAAGGGGCTGGTTTGGACAAATCTATGCCTGTTTATTGAGAAGTAGACCCTACTGTGTTCAGTTTATTCCCAGGAAAAGTATACCTATGATTGCAGCCTTAAGCCACTAAATAGTTTGGGCTCATTGCGTGGAATTCAACTAAGTTTTACTCAAGGTAGATCCACTGACATTAATAAACATAACGAAGTTGTGTCTATTGATTTTAATTAATCTACTTTGAGTAAAACTTAGTCGAATGCCACCCGCTGTATCTCATGGAATGTTTCCTTCCACACAGCCTCTTCCTGTGTGCCAAAATTATCAGGTGAGGCCATGCTTTGAGTACTGATTTTATTTAGAACAATGTTTCCCAAAGTGGGATTTTCCTCTCTTCAAAGGCAAACTGCAGTCCCACAGGAAAATCACAATGTTTCTTTTCTGCAAATCACTCAAAAGGGTGAGATCTGCAATGATCAAGTCTCTTTGATAACTTAGCATTGAATTCAGACCTCAGTCTTCATGACTCTTAAATCACTAAAACCTCTAATTCAATAGTCACTCTGATTTGAAATACATTACATACAGCTTTCCGCCCAACACCTGTTGAACGGGGTAGCAGGGTAACAGAGAGAGTTCCTGCACACCATTTTGGAGAACTTGGAGTCTTTTTTCTAGACATTTGGCTCACTGACGTCCTCTCCGGGCTCTGGGAGGGTCTCCTCAGATGCTTTCCACCTCTCTCCTGTCATTTCAGATCAGAATTATTTATTTAATTTCCTGGTGCCACACATATACTGTACGTGGTTGCGTGCATGTCAATCACACATATGTATGGGGATGCCTGTACTGGAAGGCTGGTATGAAGTCAGCAACAGTGTTCCCACCAATCATTCATTGACCTATCACACAACACACTTCTGCTTGCCAGGTACAGAGCTCAAGAGTATAAAATAGTTATATCACCTCAACCCCCTTTTCCCCTTCAGCATCTATTCATTTATTTATTGCACTTTCAGCCCACAATTTTCTCCAAGAAGCTCAAGGTAGCAAACATTGCTTCCTCTCTCCATTTAATTCCCATAACCATTCAGTGAGATAGGTTAAACTGAAAGAGTGCTACTGGCCCAAATGTCACCCAGGGAGCTTCACGGCTGAGTGAAGATTTGAACCCTTGTATCCCAGGTCCTAGTCCAACACACTAAACCACACTAGACCATACTGGCTCTCAAATTAACATCCATTTCAATTTGAACATGCAATCAATGTGCTTGTACCACTAACACACACACACAAGAGAGAGAGAGAGAGAGAGAGAGAGTGTCAACACTTTCATTCAAATTTCTATTTACTCAGAAAGTCTCCTATTACACACATCCAAGCTTAGTATTTACATTAGGCTCCAAAGAGCACTTCACAGTATGTTCTTCACATAGCCATCAAACGCATAACCTACTTGCTTGAAATCTCCAGCATTTATTAAGCAACCTTCAAAGCAGAAGACAGTCTGCTTGTAAAAATCATGACCCCACTTTTTTGTACTACTTGTAATTAGCCAGAGTAACATTTACAGTGGTACCTAGGGTTACAGACACTTCAGGTTACAGACGCTTCAGGTTACAGACTCCACTAACCAGAAATAGTACCTCAGGTTAAGAACTTTGCATCAGGATGAGAACAGAAATCACGCAGCGGCAGCGGGAGGCCCCATTAGCTAAAGTGGTGCTTCAGGTTAAGAACAGTTTCAGGTTAAGAACGGACCTCTGAAACGAATTAAGAATGTAACCAGAGGTACCACTGTACTTCCATTTACTGGAACTCCTAACTGACAGGCCAGATCATACCTGCAACAGAATTTCATCCAGCCAACAACTACAGCACACTTCAGCACTTCTACCCCTTCAGATGACAAGACAAGCAACCATGGCTGGCTCTGAAGCAAATACCTAATAGCAGCACTGATACTAGAAGGTGCTCCTAGTTTGCTGCTGCCTTCTCCTCCAACTAGGCAGCCATCACTAAGTTGGCCTTGATGCCCAAGAAGGTTGACAAAAAAATGAAACATAATCAGTCCACTAGCTGATTTCATAAGTAAGTTATTTTCCCCACCAGGTTTTTGGAAGTCTAACAATATGTTGTGATTCAATACCTTCTTTCCATCCTCAACAGAAATAGGTGCACCGCAGGCATAGCACGTGGCATTCCAAACCCTGGTGATCTATGCTGTGTACCGTCAGCTTCTGACAAATGCTTTTTGACAGTCTGGGTAGCTGAAGCGGCAGTTACAGGACAAGATGCTTAATGCTAAAAACAGCAAAAAATGAAGCTCCTTTGCCTTTCAAAAAGTACAGCAAGATTGTCCTTCCAAAGTACATCTCAGATACACAATATGAGGCAAAGCACCAAAAATTCCTCCTGCTGCCATCCAAGTAAGTGTATTAAAGCATTTTACTTCTTTGCAGAGAATCCACAAATGCTAACGAAGCTTGGTCTTTACACATTAAGGACTATTTATATATTTTTCAAATTGGTTTCATTTTGTGCACATTTTAAGAAGCTTTTCATGACCATGTCTTAGAGTAACTTGTTTCTAGACAGACATGTGAATAACCACAATGGATGTTTAAATCCTGAAACTCTGCTTTTATCATTTTTCACTCATAATCATCCAACCATCAACTGGAGAAGAAATCATAGCTTGGTGAGAGAGCATATGCTTCACATGCTGAAGGCCCTGGAGTTGGCATCTCCAGTTAAAAATAGCAGGTGGTTTACCCAAAAAATAAAACAATCCAAAAATAATGAAAATCAAAGGTAAGCTTACAATCAAATTAAAACATATTTCAACATTCTACACGTCTGGATAGGCTTGCCTGAACAAAAAGGTTTTCAGCAGGCACTGAAAAGAGTACTGTGAAGGCACCTGCATGATGTCAATAGACAGGGAGTTCCAAAGTGTGGGTGCTGCCGCACTAACAGAAACATTTCTCTCCCCATTTGAACTGACCCCAGATCCTGCAATCATCATCTGAGGCCCTTCTTCATGTACCTCCAAGAGGTCCGGAGGGTGGCAACACAAGCATGGATCTTTTCTGCACTGGCTCCCCACTTGCAAAATGCTCTCCCCAGGGAAGCTCACCTGGCACTTTCCCTATCTCCCAGGTTTTCCTCTTCTCCCAGGTTTCTGATTAATGAAACAATCTATGGCCCTTTAAACTGGGGTGGGTGGGTGTATTGTTTTTGTTATTACGGTACATATTTTTGTGTTTTTATATTGTAAACTGCCCTGTGGTCTTCAGATGAAGGTTGGTATAAAAATTACTTAACTGATTGATTAAATAATTAATTAAAATGTTGAAAGAGCTATTATATGGCACCTATAACTGCAAGTTCTACAGACTAAAGTTTCAAGTGGGCATATATGGGATAAAGTGATACATTAGGCAGCTTCCTTCCAAGGAACAATCCTAAAGTCTTTTGCACACATTAATTGTAAAGTACAATGAAACATGGAAGGATCTATCCTACCCAAAGCTGGAAAGTCTCTAGTCCTTGCCTTCTTAATATCCTTGGAATGTTACAAATGTTTGGTACACAGTAATATTTATTTTTGAGTTCTATTTGAAACTTATTTTCAAAAAGTAAAAAAATAATCATTTTTGGTTTGTTAATGTAAAGGAGAATGTGTATAAAAACTTTGTACTGGGCAATTGTTTCAACAAACATTACCACCAAAGGCACTTGTTCAGTCTTTTCCAAAACTAGAAAGAAAACCTAAAAATCATTCAGATGGGCAAATCATTCAGCTCTGATCGCAGCCGCACCAAGCAGTGCAGGGCTGGAAGAGCGGCATGAGAAGGACACAACAGCCATGTGCCCTTCAATCCCAGCCTCATCCTCCTTTTGCGATGCCCCCCATGGGCATCTGGGGGGGTTCACCCACCAAAGGCTGCATCAGCTGGCTGGCAGGTGGCACAGCGCAGCCCCACTTGGCTCCATTGGGGGGAGTTGCTCCAGCAGCATCGGCAGCAAGGGCTGGGCTAGTGGGGCGGGTTCCGCATGCACACCCCAGGCGCCTGCAAACCATGCAATGCTGCTGTATCTAACTAAATTTTACTTAGAGTAAACCCACTGAAATTAATCAACCTAACTTAGTTGTGTCCATTAACTTCAATGTACCGTATCTACTTTGAATATGACTAACATTGGCTATGACCCACTGTCTCAGAATTATTCAGATCAGGATCAGAGACAGAATCTGAGATGGAGTGGGTCCTGGAGAAAGGGGAGGGAGCATATAGGCTGCCTTTCTTGAAAACTGGGAGAATAGCTTAAATGTGGGGCTTACCCTGTCTGCGGAAGATTTTGTATTTGCCCACAGGGTCTCAGGACCCAGACAGGGTAATGATGATATTCCAAGAGACATTATACCACACTTTGAAAGGTACAGAGTTAAGGAGAAAGTTTATAAAGAGCTTTATAATCTGAAAGAGATTCACTATGGTGAGGCACAAGTGGAACTTTATTAGGACATCTATCCAAATGCGCTAGCCCACGGAAGGGTGTTTAAGCCTTCTTTCTACATCAGCACTCAGAGAAGCTGGCCACCAGTATAAATGGGGATATCCATTCAAGCTCCTAGTACATTACAGAGCGGAAACTCTTTCAGCATCTGATGAAACCCAAATGCTAAACATCCCTAAAGATCTACGGATTGAAGCACCAGAAACTAGCAAGTTGCAGCAAGCCACAAAGCAGCAATGGGAACAGCTAAATAAATGTACTGCTCCTGAGGGCAGAAGTGCCTGAATATTCAGGGTATGCTTAAGACTTTAATGTTCATCATCACACCTTGTCAACAAGTTCTGCTTGTGATACATTAAAAAAAAGACTTTATGCTATGTTGTTAAGTTCTGTGTGGGAAGTGAATCCAGTAATGGAGTCTCGATTCCTACCAACCTCCAAGTTTCTCTGTGGATGGGTGCAGTTCACACCACCCTGTGGTATCTCCCGTCAGTGAAGGTACTCCCAAAAGGGGAGTTAAATGTCTTTGTTTATCATAACTGTTAGGAGTACAACAGTTACTAATTTGTTTATGTCTGCAATTACTGGACCTGACGACGTCCAGTCTTTATCCTCATGTGGCTCCACTTTCACAAATAATTCCCAACTGCTGAGACTAGCATCTCTTGCTGTAAAAGATCTAGGAACTGTGGTAAAGAGGGCAAGGGCAGAGTCAAAGGCTGGGCATTGTTATGCTGCAATAGACCCACCAACAGAAATCTTTTTGAGGAAAATTGTTTAAAGTGGGTTGTTGATTGTTCATGTCTGCGCAGGAGGCTTCCAACATATTATAAAGCCACAGTAAAATATCAAACCTCCTGCCAACCTAGCAGTTCGAAAGCACGTCAAAGTGCAAGTAGATAAATAGGTACTGCTCCGGCAAGAAGGTAAACAGCGTTTCCGTGCGCTGCTCTGGTTCGCCAGAAGCGGCTTATTCATGCTGGCCACATGTCCCGAAAGTTGTCTGTGGACAAATGCCGGCTCCCTCGGCCAGTAAAGCGAGATGAGCGCTGCAATCCCAGAGTCGTCCGCGACTGGACTTAATGGTCCAGGGTCCCTTTACCTTTACCTAAAACATCAAACATTAAAAACTTCCCTATACATGACTGCCTTCAAATGTCTTTAAAAAGCCAGATAGTGGTTTCTTTCTTTGACATCTGATGAAAGGGCATTCCACAGGGTGGGCACGAATACCAAGGCGGCCGTCTGTCTGGTTCCCTGTAACCTCACTTCTCAAAGTGAGGGAACCACCAGAAGGCCCTCAGAGCTAGATCTAAGTTTCTGGGCTGAACAATGGGGGTGGTGACACTTCTTCAGGTATACAGGGGCGAAGCTATTTAGGGCTTTAAAAAGTTAACACCAACAGGATGTATTTGGGCGTGAATAGGACATTACTGGGTAAGCATCTGACTTTATGTTCAGCTTACTCTCCAAACTGACAAATCAATTTTTTGACAAATATTTTACCATTACTGCATTCTTCTGTGATTGGTACCATCATCTTAGGCAGAGATTTGAATGTTTGTAACAATTGAGTCATGGACAGGAGCGGTTCTGTAGGATATGAAGGGTCTGGTGACAGCAAACTCTCATGGAGAGTACTACACCACACAATAAATGATATTACAATTTTTCCCAAAGGTCCATCACTCTTACTCCCATATCAAGCATCTCCTTTTGTCTAATTCTTTGTGGAGGAGGGTATGAGATGAGGGCATAGAACTTATTACTGTTTCAGACCATACACCATTTATTTATTTTTTGTTTCAAAGGATGTTCCACTCCAGTTTTCTGAGTGAGGAGAGGGCACTCAACAATATAAGAGAGGAATAAAGACCATTGACACTCACTATTAGTGAGGAACAGGACAGGGTTGCCCCCTGCCTTCTGTATTGTTTGAAATGGCAGCTGATGTCCTTGCTATTATGCTACGTTAGAATAACAACATTAAAAGGGTCCAAGGAACTTAAACTGAGCATGTAATGTAGTCACAGACATGCAGCTTCATTGCTAGTAAGCAGAGCAGTAGAGAACTTTCTGAATCATTGTTTTCAACACCATCACAGCAGCGTGGGAGTTCAGCACAAAAATTTGAGAGACAAGTGGTACAAACATTCAGGAAAGAAAAGGACTATGTTCCTAACAATTAACAAACACTCAATTAATCATTGCTAACGAAGCTACAATCCCGAGATATTTTAAGGTTTCTGAGACAGCACTGTTGCTGGTGGAAGGTATTTTTAAAACCTAATCGTCTTATGGGGGGGCACAAAGAAGGGAGAAAAAGAAAGAAAAGGAAAATAAAGTGAACGGAACAGAGTACTGCTGACTTGTTCAACTGCTTTTTTACAAATAGCATAATTCCACACAAAGTTGTCACTTCCTGATATCACCCAGCAGGACAGATATATCTAATTTTATCTAGAAAGGGCTCAAACCTATAATGGGAATTGTATAAATTTTGCTTAACTCTCTACGCTCCTTAAGAATAAAATCTTTAATAACTGTGCATTTTACAAATCTATCTTTTCTAGTGGAATTGAAGCACAACCTGATTAGTATAATGAGCATCAGTAATGTGATGGAGGAGTCAAATTCAACTGGAAAAGTCTCTTCATTGTCCCCACTACATGAGTGAAGATTCACTACACTACCAAACAGTTCCTTGAGCATCCATATCTGGAATACAAACTTCTTGCTTTAGAGATAGAGCTAGGGCATTTGTGCTTGGATGTTTGGTATTAAAAGATTGCCAGAGGCATAATTTTAAATTGTTAACCATTATTTGTCCTCAAAAGTACAAAGTAATGCCATGGTAGCACAGCAATCACTCTTTCTGCGGGAATATTCTCAGGGAGATAATACTCAAAAACATCAAAAATAGGAAGTCTTTTCAGGCAAGTAGACCAACTACTAGCATTTACTTCTGATGGTCTAGTAATTATGTGTGGGTTGAGGGCTTTCATTCATAGATGACTACTAAACTGTCTTATGAGCTTGGGGCTTGAGACATTTTGCAGTGCCCTGTTGAGATTAGTGAATATTTTCTGAAACATGCTGTCATAGGGCTGTTGGAATAACTATTCAGGCTTGACTATATGAATTATTGACTATATGAAGACAATTTCACTTGTTAATATTTATCTAGTTTGAAGTTGGAGTTTTTCTGGTGACCACCAATACCACCTTTCTTTCTTTTTACTTTGTCATACAGAAGATCAGCCTCCTGTGTTTCTAAAACCCTCATCTGTAGAGATAGATATTGGTATCTCATCAACAATGAAATCTACAGAGACAGTAGCTTCTTGTTCTTGAAATACTTCATCTTAAAATAATAGTCTCTGTATTGATACTCATGACACAGTATCTACTACATTGATTCTTTTTCATGGATGTATTGAAAGTGAATTTTGTGATCCGGAGACAAAAAACATTGGACTCTTGAAGGTAGCTCACCCTGTAGTTTCCCTCTTAGAAGGGATA